TTAGCGAATCCGCTAGAGCATAAAATTGGTTCAAAGTCTCTATTTTTCTTGATTTTGGAGAATCTATTGGAGATGTATTAAGTTTTTAATCGGGAAATTGATCGAAATGGTCGTCCCTCTCTCATCAATTGGTCTCCTAAGCATTCCTCTCTCAACTTTACCTAAACGTCATTACCTCATAAAGTGGACCTCCCTAACTTACAGATGTAGCTAAAAGACAAAAAAATTACAATTTATTTTGAGGTCCGCTGGTGGAACCTCTCTAATTTTCGGACCTCGACCGAGATTGTAATTTTTATTTCTTTTAGCTACCTCCAAAAAATTACGGAGGTAGTGACATTTGAGTAAAACGGGGAGTTGAATGATTAGAAAACCAATCGACGTGAGAGAATGACGGAAATTTTAAAATTTTAAAATTTTAAAATTTTAAAATTGTCCATTAAAATTATTGGGTGTAATTATTTAAACTATTTAATATCAAAATTTTAAAAGAAAAAACATTTTAGAAATTATATAAGAAATTAAAAAATATATATATAATAAATTTATGTAAAAATATAATTATCAAATAACAGACAATCCCTCCATTCTCAATTATGAGATAGTAATTGATTTAGAATTTTCGATAACAATCTTTGTTTCAATATAGGTCCTCCCGTCCGTCATGCTACTAGATAAACTATTCTAACCTTGTATGCCTTTTTCATCATATAATGTTTTTTAATCTGTTTTTTTTTTTTTTGGTAACTATAGATGTAGGGATCAGTTTGCGTGCATCGTAACTAATTTTGAAGTATGTCACTCAACTACTTTTGAACTTTTCTAGCTACAAGAACCTGAGGGGTGCATAGTAGTCTCGTGTTCCCCTATTGAACAAAATGCAAAAACCATGTTCGTACAGAAGAATAGCTAAGAAAATCACTAATGTTCTTGCAAAATTCAAACCGATGATATCTGAGAAGGATCGCCAAAGATAACTGTTCTAACCTTATATTCCTTTTTCATCTTATAAATATATAATGTTTTTTTTTTTTTGGTAACGATGCGTGACCAAAATAACTTTGGTTCCATGGTCGCTTCTTAACATGTTAAATTGTGGGATTTTGAACAAGGTCATCAAAAGTTTAGAGCTTAGTTTTACACATGTTTAGGGCATTTTCATTAATATGTGTAAAAATATCTTCAACAGCTTCTCTATAATAGAGAAAATAAATTTGTATTTTCTATAATGCTCTAACAGTTTCCCTATCTAATTCTCTAACAGTTTTCCTATCTAATTCTCTAAAATCATTATATATATATATATATATATATATAAGTGTATTGAGATCATAAAATTATAGAAATTTTAAATAACATAATTTATGATAAATCTCTAAATAGAGAAGCTGTTAGAGTTGATTATAATTTATTTTAATTTTTTTTTACTTTTAGTTCTCTATTTTAGAAAATTATAGAGAAACTGTTGGAGATGCTCCAAAGTCTTATCTATAGCATATCTGATCTCAGTATCAATCTGATTTCTATCAAAAATAAAAGTATTATGTCTCATCATTGGTCTCTAATTTGTCATTCCCTACTTCTTTTCGTCCCGTTCGAACGAGCAAGTAGCATCAATTTCTTTTATGTTACTCTCTTCAAATTTCTCTGATTTATTGACATCAGATTATTATTTTTTTCCTGTAAATTAGGCTCAAACAATCAGTTTTTTAATTGTTTAATTTATAACTGTTAATTGTTCATATCTTTGATTATTTCGATTTAGGTTCATAATATTAATTGTTTCAAATGGTTTCTAATTTTGAAATATTTCAAATAATTTTTTTTATAAAAATATATCTGAAATTTGGGTATTTTATTAAAATAACAATTAATAAATAATTTGTAGCGGGGAGGGGAGGGGGGTGTGTTAAGGGCGAAACCTCCAAGAGATCAATTTTGCAAGACTTGGGTTTCCAAGTCGCATGTCAAAAAGTTTAGGGATTTACGCAACTTGTCTATCTATTCTTTTAAATCTTTTATTTTTAATTTATTAAACTATCTATACTATATTATAAAATATTTGATAGAAATTCTTAAAAACCATTTTTATGCGTAAAGTACTGTTTATTAATACATATTACTTAAAACTCAAGATTACAAGTAGATTGTGCGTAAATACAACTTATTAAAGTTCCATATCTGAATTCGTGTAACTAACTGCAGATAAATATAATCAAATACAAGATAAATATCTCATTTTATATATATATAAAATTTAAAAATATAATTAGGATAATTATTGAGTTCTAACAAAATACTTAATTATTATGTTTATAAAATTT